AATGTTTCATTACTTGAAACAGTTGAAGAAAGAGAAGGGATGAATATTTGTTCATTTAAGGGGAATGTAATAATGAATCTTATGGCAATGAGCTAGTGAGATGCTCTCAGTATTCACATAGTGGACAAATTCAGCAGATTCTTCACACACTTCATGACAAGGTGAGACGTGTAATTTGATAGAAAACCCAAGTGAAGAGGGCCCTGTTGTCCAGGATGAAGATGAAATAGCTTGTATCTCATCACATTCTCTTCGCTTTGAGGTAAAGAACTGATATTAAATTCATAGCCTAAACGAAAAAAGAAAAAGGAAATGGTAATTGTTTATAGTTGATTTGTTTTTTTCCAGGTCAGCAAATACACAGGAAGAATCCACTGGTATTCATGTATCCAAGGAGTAGAAACATGGCCTACCTTATTGTTTAAAAATTTCAAACTGGAGGAACTTGAGACAAAAGATCCAGACAAAGGCAGTACACAAACTTTAACTAGAGGGGCCTAAATGTATGTACGCACATAGTTGAGGGTGGTATTTAAAATTATTATTATCCAACTGGGTTTGCTAAAAGGAGGAAGTAATTTTTTTTTTATTTAAAAAAAATGATAAATCCTTTTGGTGATTTTGTGTAGACTTGAAAAGCTCATCAGTGATCCTACAGAGGGGAATGCATGGCATGCAGACCACATTGTGCTAGTATATCGAGGGGGAGGTAAATTGAAATCTTCTACAATTTCTTTTATGGCTTTCTCTCCTTAAACCCTGAAAAAGCCTCTATTTCTGGGTTCTTTGGAAGATGTTTAGGTTATTACTAGTGGCTCTTCATTTGATCGAAGTAGGTGAGTATTTTACAATCCCTCTCAACAAGATAGAAGACTTTGGTGCTCATAATACAAATAGGTGAATCATATGGAGAACTGTATTGAGTTCATGTTTTGATTTCTGTTCTTGGTCGAATTATTGGGAAAACTAACAATATCGAGTTTAAAGGTTATAAATTAAGCCAAAAGTAAATTAGAGAACACATGTTGCTACTTTTGCAGTGTTGATTGGAAGCAAAATGATAATCAATTCAAACAAACAAATCTAAAGACATCAACAAATCCGCTCACATTTTCTTTTATATAGAATAAATTTTTTGAGTTAATACACACTCTATATTCTCATAATTGCACTTTCTTGAGAAAAAAGGGGGAAAGTTGGATGAGTTGGATGACTTTGGGAGTTAATACACACTCTATATTGATGGTTGGCTAAATACATGTGAAAAAAAAATTGACACCTTATCTTCCTCTGTTTCAGAACAGAACTGATACTAGATGCAATCCGTGAAATTGAGGAAGAAGATAGAGAAGCTGTGATATTAGTTCTAGACTTTGACATCCAGGTAATCTATTTTCTATGAAAAAGACATGAATGCCCTTCTCATGTTCATGTTTGTCTGTTTTGTTTTGATAACATGTGATTGGGTTGTAGATGCTACCATGGGAAAATCTACCAATACTAAGAAACCAGGAGGTGTATCGCATGCCTTTTGTTTCAAGTATTTCTTATACATTTGATAGATGTTGTGAATATCAAGAAAAGTCTGCATTCTTTCCTATGATCGATCCACTGGATGCATACTATTTGCTCAATCCAGGTGGCGACCTTCCTAGCACACAAGCTGCATTCTTTCCAACATTCTTTATATATGAACCAAAGGTTGCATCTAGGGTCATCGCCATGTGGAACATATGTGGATGATGTTGTATGTTTATGCTGACGGTTGATAAATACATTTTCGATCCCCATGTTATTTGTAACATCGGATATATAAGCAACAATAATTTACTGCAAAGCATGGGCCCCTTATCTAATTATTATTATTATTATTATTATTATTATTATTATTATTATTATTATTATTATTATTATTATTATACTGTCAACAATTACTATTTTCTTAAGTATGTTCTTATTTTCTTTCTAAATGACAGGTCACCATGCTCCCGAAGAAACCTATAGATAGAGCTCATGAGATACAAAGTTACTGCCTTGGCCATACAGGGTGAGTGAGTTACTGGAAAAGCCATAGTTGATTGCTCAATAAGTTTGACATGGTTTATAAACTTTGACATGATGTGTCTATTATTGTTAAAATTATACTCTTGTCGTTTAATTAGTAGTGATGGTGGGCCACCTAGGTGGTTTTCCCCTGTTGCCTATAAGATTCTCATGTTCATATGTATTTGCCTGGTAATTTGTGTTTGGTTATAAATTTACACAAATTACCATTTTACCCCTGCAATATATGTTTATATTTATTTACTAATTGGATGTGATACTTTGTGTTGGGTTTGGACATTCTTTTTTATAAAATTTTGTTTTATAGAATCTTTAATAGGAATACGTAAATGTTTGCTTAAAATTTTGGTGTCTTGGGACTTCTTGCGGATCATATTCAACATTACAGCTTGTTACCAGGTAATTAATTAACTGTCTCTATCTACATGCTCTTTCACTTCACCATTGTATCTATTTTTCTTTAGTAAAAAAATATTAGGTAAAATCATGGTGTGTTGTTATGAAACAAATAGGCAGGACAGACATACGGATGAAAGTGGAAATCCCACAAGATATAGAGCTTGTGGAGCCGCTAGATGAAGCTTGTATATGGCGCCAAACAAGAGGCACCGCCACTGAAACTTTAGGAGCAGAGAAGGTTCAATTACAATTTACAAATCTGCCCTTCTGTTTTCTTAAATATTTTATTAATCCAAAATTATCATATCTGTGAAACTTAACAGCAGTTGTTGGTCTTCCTCTTGGTGATCCATCAATGAAGTGGCCAACTTGCATCATGTAATAACATTCTAGGCGAAGATGTAGGTATTTGTTTTTTTTAATGAATAATGTAATCATATGTATGAATATGAAATAAAGTTTGTTATTTAGTATGTGATAATCATGTATAGGAAGAAAACAATTTTTATTGATTTGTTTTATCTTTCCATGGATCGACTATTTGTATGACATTAAATTTTATGAAATGGATTGTATTTTATGTATATTGTAATTTAGTTTTTTGTTATGAGACATTAAATGAAATTTAATTTGAAAATTAGTAAATCTATAAATAATATTTTTTTAAACATTTAAAATTACGATACGCAAAAATGTGTGTCATATTCATTTATGACATGGCCTTTCTTGACAGGGGCTTCCTTGATACGCATTGCGTGTCATAAACATGCGCGTCGTAAGGTTACGACACGCAATTGCGCGTTGTCTTCCTTTATTACAGGGCCTTCATTGATACGCATTGCGTGTCATAATTGTGCGTCGTAAATGCGCGTCGTAAATGCGTGCCGTAAATGCACGTCGTCTCTCTTTATGACAGGGCCTTCCTTGACGCGCATTTGCGCGTCGTCTGAGCGTTTTACGACGCGGAATGAGCGTCGTAAAAGGCTGTTTTTCTAGTAGTGTTAATAAGGAAAAATTGGATATTTGTGGAACATACACTACTTTCTCAAAGAAAGGTTTTCAACTTTACATTACAAAGCTTATGCACTCACAAACTTAATTGTTGAATCTCTTTCAAAATTACCTGTATTCTCAGGTAATCCTTAAAACATGTAACTATCAAGCTTTTGAGGATGGGGCGCTAAGGTGTCAGACAATTCATTTCATCATTATATTGTAATCTATTTTGAAACATGTAATTCATGAAACCATGTAACTTTTTCGATTATATTTATGATGGTTTTGTTTACTCTGGTCACTTATATACTCGTTGTTATGATATTATACATAAAGTCATCCCACCCCCAGACGTTTCCGCCATCCTAAGTTTGGGGGTGTGATAGATACCGTATTGTTGAACACGATTCTTTATATGGGAAACAATAAAACTTTTATTAAGACACTTAAGAAGAGTTTACAATTTCAGAGACTACTACGTACACTTTGCTTTCTTTGAGGCTTTTCTTGGATGGTTTGGAGCAAATGAACTCCACATCTATTTATAGGCTTCTTAGGAAGCTTCTAGATACTACAATACACATACTACTTACTAGATAACTCAAACTATCTAACATACTTTATAGGCTTCCATATGTTGCTAGAATGTTCCACCGTATTCTGGAGTGGTCTAAGTTGCTCTAATATCTTTTAGAATGATCCTTAACCTTCCAGTATCTTCCATGTCGTTCTAGAGTATTCTAGACTCTTCCGGTATATTCCGGAGTCTTCTATAATCTTCAATAATGTTCTAGAATTTTTAGAAAATTTTAGAACGGGTTGAAGTCTTCTAAATAATATTTTTTTTATTGGGCTAGTGATGATATTTAACAGGAGCAATCTCGATTAAGAGAAATTGGGGTTACTCGTGATCAAAACTAAATCACGCCCGCTTCAATGAAACTGTATTATACCAAGTGTAAATGCAATGTAAACAATAAAAGGAAAATTGATGTTACAACTTGCAAGCATGAACTCAAACATGGAAAAAATAAAAATGGAAATGAAGACAATGCTTGGAATACAAGACGTTATCCGGAATGATTTTACTACTTTTTATTTATAAAAAATAAAAAAATAATAATTAAAAAAAAAAAAAAAAAAACATACGCTCCTAATTTAAACCCATAATTTGTACTAATAAAATAAACTCCTAATTTAATACAGAAGTTGCATGAAGGTAACTTTCCTAAACTAATAAAACTTTTCTATTAAAGCCATACGGATCAAACCTAAAACTCCTTGATTGGATCAACCGATTAATCCAACACCAATAATGAAGTTTTGGTTGCAACAACAAAACAAGCACAATGGTTCGAAATTTCAATAATAAAACGGAATGTAAATAAAATGATATGACATTTTTATTACATTTGCAAATATGTTGGTCCAACTTCAAAGATAAGATAACTCATGAACTTAAAAGCTCATAAAAAATTAAGTCTAGCTCCCTCCAAGGTTAAAAAGATCATGAGTTAGATTGCTCATGTCCTGGCCATGGACTACAATGCATTAATGTTCAAGTTTGGACCTATAATTTCTTCAAATATCAAATCATAGAAGTCATTTTCCACATTTTGAAATTCAGGGCTTTGTTGCAGATCATTACTCACTCTTGATCCTTCTTGAATGCCACTACTTGATCCCCCATTTATAACTCTTTCGTGAGAGCTACAAGTATGATTAAATTCATCCATGGAAAATGATAATTCTTCTGAATTGTTATTGTTAAACAACTGAAACTGATCTAGTGAAAGCCAGTCAGCAAATAAAATCTTTGGTGGGATTCTAAGAACAGTTACTTTTGAATAATCTAAAGGTTCCACATCAGTTGATTCTGTACTTGAACCTGTTCTTGTTGACTTTAAAGAAGAAGAAGAAGAGGATTCTTCATTTAATAATGTGTCTAAAGGCGTTATGTTTTGTAATTTGGCAAATTTCTTCTTCATATAAGAATGCCAGTGATTTTTTATCTCATTATCACTCCTTCCTGGCAAGTGCTGTGACATTTGTGACCACCTGAGATATTTGAAGTGTGCCCGTATTAGGTTCTTAGATATTTATAATTTTTTATAAACTCATAATTATATAAATGGCCTTATTTTTATTATCAACTTACAAGCTTAAATTATTTTTATATAGTTGTAAGTGCAAAACAATTTTTTGTTATCTACACGCGTTACATAGACCGTGAATAAGTTATATGATTTTTGTGGTGTTCTGATCATTTTCTTGTGCGACTACTTTAACCATTATATTACTTAATGGGCTATATGTAATAAATAACAACATATTTTGATTATTCTTGTAAATGTGGACATAGTGAATACTTCAACTAAACTTTACTACTACATTTACAATTATAAAAAACCGAGTTACCAGAAAAAATGATCTTAATTACAATATAGCTTAGCAGCTAGTTGAGATTTTGAGGAAAAAATTAGAACAATCCAAGATACAATAACGCAATACATTGCATTCTTAAATTAATTTACTTTTTGTTATGATAGTTATACATTTAGTGATTATATCTTTATCAATTATGGAGGTCATGATCAATAGAGTAATTAATTGTTTACCAAATCCTATGAGGTAAAAAATCAAAATAAAGAAGTTTATTCCTTATACATGCTTACTTATTTCCTAACATGCCATGAAGAGTGAGGATGATCTGTTCCTCATGTGTGGTAAATGTCCCTCGCTTTAATCCTGGCCTTAGATAATTAGTCCATCTTAATCTACAACTTTTTCCATTCCTTTGTAAACCTGTGATATCGATAAAACCATAAAGTCAACTCTAAAATTCATGACACAACTTATTATCACATATAGCTTTATGATGTTAATTAACTTATTACCTGCATTAATGGGGACAGAAGTCCAGCACCCAAGACCATGGTTGATGATGTAGTCTTTGAGTTTTTGATCTTCATCGGGTGACCATAAACCCTTTTTGTGCTTTAGATTTTGGTTAGCTGATGACTTGCACCTCATGTTCGAAACAAGATAATTTGTACAAGGAAAATGATGTTCTTATATAATAAAATGATAGAACTGAGGTTTTCAATTGGAATCCCGATCTTTTTTTTGTATATTTAAGGGAGTTGGACGCTTACAATTTTGATTTGTTTAATGGTGACTGCATTCCCGCTTTTACATTTACCTAAAATCAAATATTTTATCTTTCTCTAAACTGCATGTTCCCTTGAAAGAATGTCAATTAGCCCTTTGTTACTTTTACTTGATTGTGCGTTTTGTATAATATTTACCTTCTTACTTTAATTGCCACCATTGTGGGCGTATACATTTCATATGTCGAAGGTTATATCTATGGAAGTAGTAATTAACCTTTCATTTAACCCATTCGTTATGAGATTTCATGTGTTGTGGTGTTGGGTTCATGAAAAGTCACCTCCATAGTTGTTTCAAGATTGTTTATTGACTTTCTTAATAACTATATATCACCTAAATAGAGACCAGATCAATGCTTAAATCGCTAGACGAATGGCCAACATTTACATGGCTCTTCATTAAGAGAGAAGGTTGAACGAATCAAACGCTTCCAGTTAACATATATGGCCTATGGGAATTGACAATTAAATAATAGAGCATTCATACTTTACAAGTTCAAAATGTGAAAATTCGATCTTTATCTAAAATCTTCATTTCAATATGCGACTTCCTTTTTTATCAATATTAACATCAAGATATATTTTAGTGACTTACGATTAACGACACAATTTTAAAAAATTGTTAAAAAGTTTGAAAGTCATAAAGCATGCATGGTTTACGAGATTCTCACTCCTGAGCAGATACCGTTGAGTTTATGCTTATATTAAGCTCCGAAAACTATTTGATAGTTAGAAATCACATTCTCGAAGATTCTGGTGGTGAAACAAGAGTTTTTAATCAAAAATTAGCTGAATAAACTCATTAGAATAATATGTAGTTAGTAATCTACTTCATTTGTGGTGCCATGTGTTAAGAGATAAATAGAATCCTAGATTGGGGTTATAATTGTTAATCATATAGATCATCTTCAAAAATTCAAGATGCAAGAAAACGACAACTGACTTACTGTAAAGAAATCTCAATGGGTAAGCAAAAAGATTAATCAAATCACAAAGCAAAAAGCATGGATAGTGTGTCATTTGCTACATCAGTTTTGACTAGAAGGGTATAGTCATATTTTTGTTTTTATCTATTTGCATCTTGTAGCTAGAAAAAAAAAGTTAATTTTGGAATAAAAATAAAGAAAGCATGAGATACCTCATGTCATGTTCGCTTTCTTTATCACTCCATAACCTACCTAAAAGTACAAAATAAACCTTTTGATCCTTGGCTCTTAATAATTATACGCTAAAACAATTTAAACCACATATATAAATAGCAGCAAGCACTCTTTGAATACTTCAAGATCCAAAAAGATCTAAACTTTGAGTTGATGACTTGATCATAGTTTAATAGACAGTGTATGGCTTGGTTTATTAGCTATTGTGGAACTATGAAATTACCTTAGTACCCTTAGTTACATCTAGTTGATCATAAAATTTTCATGAAGCGATCACACAAATTAAATGTCAACCATTTCACATCTTAATCACTTACCTCCAATCATTCAGTTTCCTTGAATGGCAATATTAATTAACATGGTAATTAGCTATATTAGGCTTTTGATTAAGATAAATAAAGGTTCTCAACTAATCTAATCAGGCCTTGATGTTGACTTATTATTATTATGTCCTCCAATTCTAACTATTTTTAATAGAGTACGCTGGAGGGCCCTGATGAAATAAGCAGCGTGGATATATGCTTACGTGTTGGGCCCCACGAATAAATTTTCAATCCCTTCAACATCAATTTTGGCTTTTTAGACATGGTAGAATACTGTTACTTTAACCATCTCAGATCCTTTTTAAATCTAAACTAATCTGAGAATCCAATGATCTCTCTTATAATAAAGAGAAGTTTATGAAATTCAAGATTTACAGCTACCATGAAAATGCGTAATTACGATATCTTCTTGTAGTGTGTTCATATGCATAAACTGATAAACACGCTTTTCCATTGCTAATAGTAATTAATAAAGTTATGTATTATTGTACTTTTACAATAAAATTATGTTCTTGTGATCCTCATATATGCATGAAAAAATATCAGAGATCCGACTTACTTGCTTACACGTAAATGCCAGAATATCCATACTTCACATGCATTATACATAAAGATCGATAATTTCCGACACGCCACTCACCAAACGCATAAACACCCACAAACAGAAAACTTTTCGTATGTCGAATCGGGCTTGTGGATTTAACTACGTCAAATCGGGCTTGGGACACACTAAAGCCACGTCTTGCAAACTATTTAATTCCCCTTTTTTATTTTTATTTTTTTCTATCAAGTCTTCGTTGATAAACTGTATTGGACTATAGACTTTCGCTGATATACAAAAGGGGTGTTTGGATAAATAGTTTTTAGCTTCGTAGCTTATTGCGGTGAGAATAAACATTTTTTTAAAATGTGTTTGGATTAGCTTATTGCGGTGAATGACCGATAAGCAACAAACACTAAGCAATAAGCATTCCCCCATGTTTATTAAAATCAGTTTATTTAGCTTATCTCTATCACAATAAGCTAATTTTTAAAGACTCATATCCAAACACTTAAATTTGTTTATTGCGGTGGGGTTAACTAATAAGCAATAAGCAGCCTATTTTTTACCTATCAAAATTTATTTTTTTGTGAAACATGAAATATTATATTTATCTTGGATAAGATGTAAATATTGGTATTTATTCTTTTTAATTTAAAATATTATATTTTCCTAAAAAAACTAATTTTTTATTTTCAATTATATAATCAATTTTCATATTTTGTAATCATTTTATTTTAAAAAAATATACATTAACGGTATTTCCGCTAAATTAAAAAATTTTTAAAAAAATAAATAAAAAAATAACCCTTAGACATAAAAAATAGATTGATAATACTTCCCCTACCTATCCTAACCCTTTTGAGAAAAATCCCTACCATGTCGTATATGTAGGATACGATCTCAGGCAGTCATATATACGAAACTATCTCACGCAATCAATATACACACATAGACATACGACCATGCATCTAGTTAGCCCTTCCTTTTGCACCGCATTCGATCTATGTTCAAGAACGAAGCATCACTTCAGACTCTGTTATGGGGAAAAGGGAATCGAAGGCGGATCCTTGATTGCAATTTGAAACATGGACAATAATTGTATATTCCGCCTTCCGATTACTCAATTATGATTCCTAGCCTGTATGCCACCTTGCCAACCCTGACAATAATCCTAAACGATCCAATGAAGCGGGGACCCAATTCCTCCTTCTTCCTGAAGCGGATCACACCCTTCCAGGGTGAAACCTTCAGGAGTACCATATCACCCACCTGAAATTCTAACTCAGATCGACGTCTATCGGCGTAACTCTTCTACCAACTCTGAGCAGTCTACAACCGCTGCCTAATCTGTTGAATCTTCTCGGTGGTTTGCAAGACTCCCTTCGTCTGCCCCATCACCCTGTGTCCGACCTCACCCCAACAAACCGGGGTGCAACATCTCTGCCCAAACAACAGCTGGAAAGGGAGGGGGGGAACAATGTTGGAATGATAGTTGTTGTTGTAGGCGAACTCTGCAAGAGGCAGGTGGGAATCCCAACTCCCATCAAAATCAATGGCGCACACCCTCAACATATCCTTGAGGGTCTGAATGGTCCCCTCACTCAGGCCGTCGGTCTGCGGATGAAATGTCGTACTAAAGTGCAGCCGCGTGCCCAACTCTTCATGGAACTTTTGCCAGAACCGGGAGGTAAATCTAACATCTCGATCGGAAACAATAGAGACTGGAACCCCATGGCGAGCGATGATCTTGTAAACATACACGTCGGCCAGTTTCTCGGTCGAAGAACCCTCCCGTATCACCAAGAAGTAAGCACTCTTGGTCAATCGATCCACGATGACCCAGATAGCATCAAACCCCTTCGTCGTCCTCAGCAGTTTGGTAATAAAGTCCATCGTGCTATGTTCCTATTTCCACATGGGAATCTCTAGGGACTGCAGTATACCATGCGGCCTCTGATGCTCAGCATCAACCATCCTACAGGTCAAGCATCTCTCGACATACCAAGCAATTTCCCGCTTCATACATGGCCACCGATGACTCAAACTCATATCTCTATACATCTTGGTGGCCCCCGGGTGAATAGAGAAATGAGACTTATAAACCTCCCCCATGATTGTCTGTCTGACCCCACAAGACATCGGAACCTATACCCGTCCGCATCGGGTCAACTACTCACAAGCAACCAATCTTCAGCGAACTTTGGTTCATCCTTTGATAGTTGTTTAATTATTTTAGTCAAAACCGATTCTAGTCCTTTTTCCCTCTTAATGTGCTAGATATTTGGAAAATTTTAGAATGGTCAAATATTACAACATTTGCAATCGATCCTATACCCGAAGCGTATGGGACACGATGCATAATGTCTTACATAAAGATGTGATACTTTATCAATCTTCTTCCATAATATTTTATGTGTCACGTTCTCACAATTCGAACTACGAAGAGGGCTGCCGAAATCATAATTATAATTTGAGAACACACTATCTATCCTTGACTGAATTTATTAACATTCCACAATCTAAGCCTTTAGATTTGAAATGAAGTACAATATTCTCTCCCTTAATTATAGCAAAACAACTTTTCAACCCTTATGACTTTGCAAAGCATAACTCTTGTTTTCTATAATTAATATTGCTAACTTTCAATACTTGCCTTAATAATCATACAAGCATAATATTTATGCTCCCACTATTATGATGATTATTATCATGTAAGCATAACACTTATGCTCCCACTAGCTTTGACATGTATTTAGAAAACAGCTAAACTTCCAAAATACCTATTGAATTTCTTAAGTTTATATTTCTAATACCCAATTGCCCAATCTCATAATTC